TTTATCGAAAACAGTCTTTTTTTCTCGGGGGCATTTTTTCCTATGATCATCAAGGGATTTCAAAAGCAATAAAGTGTGGAATCATTGTTCGACTTGAACAGTATTAAAACTTAGGTTTTAATTTCAGTGAAGTAATAAGATTTGAACCTGTCTCACATTACAGCACTGTAAGGCATTTAGCAATTGTATTTTAAAAGAGGTTTTTAAGATGCAGCTCACTTGTAAGCTAACTGTCTGTCAGTAATTAATAGTTTTTCTTCAGCATAGGCTGTTGTGATCAGACCAAGAAATATCTGTGTTTTTAGTAACACATTATGATAATTGTGAGTGCTTATTCCTAATTAGTCTAAATGTCTAATAATTTTTAGCTTGCTTCTCTGGCTGCTTAGTAGAAAAAAAGAGTAACATGTAAAGCTACAGTGTGTCTTTGGGCTTTTAAAAATATGAATGTACACACACATGTATATTTCAGTAAGCTTTACACCTAGCAGGATGATATGTCAGTTGACTCATTCATTAACCAAGTATTTTATCCTTCAATATCATTTCCTGGTCTTCAGACATCACATCATTTGTATATGTAAAAACTGTTGCCAGATATGGTACTGTATGTATAGTTAAACCCAACCTGACAGTCTGGATTCTTCAATACTCAACACCGAACCTATCTTTACTTTTCAAAAAAGGCTTTAAAATACGAGCATTTCTATTAGATCAGTGTGGCAACATACTTGCTGATGAAAGATTGTATTTACCATTTTGAATTGCTATTGAAAATAATTGCCTCTACAAAAGGAAACATCTGTATGATAGCACATGGTTAAAGCTGCCATCAATTTTTAACATTTGAGGGTTGAGCTATGACCTTTTATGATGACTGTGAACAGTAACTGCCTCCATTAGCCATAAGTTTTGTTTCTTTATTTTAGTAGATGGCCTAGACTGTAAATATTAGAGAATCTAAAATAAATCAACATATTATCCTAAGGATACAAAATGTAAGAGCTATTTGTGGTTGGGAACCTTTGACAGATAGTTTGGATGAAGCAGATGATTGCCTGCCTAGCGTATCTGGTCTCCATTGCTATGCCTGCAGGCAGTTTAGTGCTATGGTTGTATATTGATGTCAGGGTTAGTACTGAGTGGCTAGCAGTGACAGATGTCTATAATTACAGGCAATGCTTCCAGTATTTCTGAAAAGCCAGCCTATGTTGAACAATTATCTTATTTCTGCCTTGCCAAAGAGCATGTTCCAATTGCTAGTATTAGCAATGGTGAATATAGTGCTTCATCTGCTGCCTTGGGACAAATGTGGGAAAAGCACTTGGTTATAAAACATAAATGCAAAATATTTTTTCAACATTTTGAATTAGTTAAGTTCAGTGTGTTTTCCTAATTTTTATCTCCCCATGACATGTCTCTGTTGAAGGAATCTTGAAATATAAAAGCACATTAGGTATACTTATTGAGATTTTGTTTTCCCCTAGGCCTGCATGGCTCCCCAGCGCCAGTATCCCTTGCTTTACGGAATAGATGTGTTTAAGTAAAGTTGGCTTTGAAACAACTTTCTTCAATGTGAATTACATTTTTTGACTGACTTCTGTTACAGAATTGGAAGTGCATTTCAATGGACAATCCCCCACACCTTTTGATGAGGAAAATTGTAGTAAAATGATAGGCAGTGCTGAAATTTGCAAAACACCTTAGTACACTGGTGTCTTTACATTTGTTGAGACTTGCAATTCTCAATTTTTGTTTTAACCCTTTCTGTTCAGCCTTCAACCACTCATTGTCCCTTCCTGTCTCTCAGTGTTTACCACCACTTCCTCCCACACCCCCTCTTGACCCACTTTCCTGACTCATTAGAAATGTTTTCATGCTTTATGGTCCAAGTTCCCAACTGTCCTTTTTTTCCTGGTCATCTGCTTGTGTGATACATGGGCTGTGATACCATACTCCCCAGCCAGTGTAGCAGCCTTACACAGTACTCTCCAACCCTGCCATTCCTAAAATCCCTAAACGTTCTAGGCACTGGGTGTTAAAACATTGTCCATGCTCTAAGTTACAAATTCTGTATTTTCAGGTAATGTAGAATGAGAAATGCCTAGGAAATATCAGTTGATGAGATGTACTATCTTCAACCTTACTCTAACCTGTATTGGGTTTCTACTTTTGGGCTTAACCACTCTGTGGAGTTACTCATTACATTTTCTCATGGAGTCTTCTCAGCAGTGTTTTACTTAGTAGGTATGATTACCTTCATTTTACAGAATAGGAAAAAGATTTCAGGAAGGTTTAAAGACCTGTTCAGTGACCAACCCTGGGTTTGACCAAACCATCCTACTCTAAATCCAAGTTTGCTTTCCACTCTATCACATTGCCTGTGTGTGTATTTAGGAATGAGTTTAGGCATATGCTCAGTTTTAACTGTAATGATGAATGATAAAACGAACATCACAGGTTTCATCCCCATCTTTGCTGTTTCATTTCCCAAGGAAAAAAACTCATCTCTACAACCACAGATTGGACCTCTCATCCTGGCTAGCCATGAGTCACAAGAGAACTGAGCTAGTTCTAGATCCTAGATATTTGATATAATCCTTCCTACTATATAAGAAACAACTCACTCCATAGTCTAGTGTCAGAGAGACCAATATTATATTCATAAATGAAAGGCAGCCCCTGTCGGTTCTTACTGAGCCTACCACACAAAAACTCTTTTGATAATTTAAAACTCTTACATGGTGTTCTGGAACCCTTTCTCTGTGTGCGTTAATTTAGCAAAGAAAACTTAGAGAATTGATTGGACTCACTGATCTGAATTGGGAAGACTTCGATAATTTATTGGCCCCAAGGCTGTAAATCATCTACTTACCCAGTGAGTTGAGAACTTACCCTGGAAATAGGAAACAGGAACTTGTGATGACTCAAAAAAGGAAGATGAGGGCTTTGAAATCAAGAACTTAAGCGATACAGGTGAGCCCTTGAGATAAAACATCACCTGTTGCCACAGAACATTCTGTTTTCCTCCTCTCTCCTCTCACGTTGCTTCTCTGTTCCTCCTCCTAGAAGATAGAAGATTAGGAGTTAGGCTGCCTTTCATTAGGGCTCTCTCCCCTCTAATCACTCTGTAACCATTACTAAAGCTACACACATACCAACTTACAGCGTAGACCTACTTTCCAGCATCTAATCCAGATAAAGCCCAAAGAAAAGGGACTGTCATCTTGGTGCATGCCTCATAATCTTAAAGTCAGACTAATGTTTGATTAGGTGTTACTTAATAATAATAATGGCTATTTACTGGCCACCTGTTCTGAGGACGAATAGCTAGTGTTTATTTGGTGCTTACTGTATACTAAAAACTTTCCAAGTGCTTCTGACACAATGCTGGCAGTGCTATAGCATGTTATGACAATAATAACAATTAGTACTTATGGAAATTTTACTCTGTGCCAGGACTGTTCTGAGTGCTTTGCATGAATTAACTACTCTAATCCTCTCAAAATTTTCATAAATTAGTTCTACTATCATCCTCATTTTTTATTCAAGAAAACTGAGATTTAGAGGGTAAGAAACTTGATCAAAATCACTCAGTAAGTGGTAGAATCCAACTAGTCTTGGGCTTCAGACTAGGTCTCAACCATTTCACTAGACTCCTAATTTGTACTAGCAAGTACTGTGCTAGGCTAGCAAGTAGCAAAGTCTCACTCAAAACCCCTCGTGTTTTACACTACGTATATATTCTGTGTTTCCTCCAAGGTGAATATACCAAAAATACATAAGCAATTAACTTGCCCATTTCTGTTTTACTGAGAGAAGAAGATGCTTCCTGACTAACTGCATATTGTCTTGGTTGAGGTTTTGCATATGTTTTAGCTAATTTTCAATGTGGAGAAGTGTTCAGTAGGAAGACTAAGATGGAAGCAGGACTAACCTGTTTCCCCAGATATTGCCTACCCAGAGAAACCAGGTATTAGAGTTCAAAGGCATTAACAGGCCCCCGGGAGGTGAACCCTGATCGCTTGCATTTGGAGTAGGTTAAAGTTTTCACTAACTAGGCTAGCGTGAAGAACAGAAAGTGAAAGGCAAAACAGATTATAGGAACAGTATTTTTGAGTCAAATTTGAGAATGTAATGAAAAAAAATGAACATAATGAACATAGCTGATTTGACAGAGTAGTACAAATGTAGCTGATATGATTGACACCATTTTTTCCATTCTGTGGGCCATTATTCCTCTACTCTTTATGTCAGGTTGTTCTTTCCAGACAGAGTTGAGAGTCTCTTAGGAGGAAAGTAAAGAAGTTGCTTTGGAATGTGGAAAATGGGACATGTTTCAGAGAGGCAATGTGGAGACAGAAATGGAATATTAATAGGTAACGTGTATGAATAAAATAAAGATGTTAGAAGTGGAGATGGGGACCTGGTAAAGTCTTAATGCCCACTGTAACTATAATTTGTGTGTTTTAGAGTAGAGGATTTAGGGGAGAGTGTGTGGCAAGAATTAGATCAAGTGGTAGAAGACTGTATGATGTACTTACCTTCTGAATAAATGAGTTCCATTTATTAAAAACGTACTCTTACCCATGAAGAGGTGACTCGGCCTACTTAAATCCTTAGCCCCATTTGCACACTTGCATAGTGAGAGTGCCTCATGAGCAACAACAGTACTAAGAGATTCTTAAAAATAGTTCTGTCAACGATTATTTGTAATTTGTTCTTTTCTAGGGCTATCCTTTAGTAATTGGTTTCTTGAATTATTCCACAGAAGCAAACCCATTGTGTAATCTATATAACCACATCCAGGCTTTGAACAGCACTTCACCATTGTCTTTGCTTATAGCTTCCAGAATATAATCAAAGTCCCCAGAGCATTTTAAGTGACAGCCACAAAGGTCCTGAGCCATATCCTCCCTATATCTGAAGTTGGGAAGGCCGTCTGCTCTTCCCTTATCCCTAATGTCAGGTGCCAGGTCCCTAAACTCTGTGCTTTTTAGGTTGTACGCCTGAGGAGTGATGTGTCCAGAGTTCCAGAGAAGGCTTGGAAAATAGTTAAGGTGAGTTGAGTTGCTGGTTGTTGTGGTGGATCTTCAGTCTTTATGCTTATCTCACCACAGCCCCAGGTCCTTATTACTAAAATAGGTACATGCTCACAGTGATTAGTGTAGGGGTGCCTTGTCTGGGTTCCCTTTTTATGCACTTTATAACCCTACAGTATGCATGTCTTATAACCAAATGTTCAACCGTCAGCTACTAAGCGGTATTAACTGCAGAGACTCTGCTTAGCTTGAATGCATAGTACGAAAGCAGCCTAGGTTTCTCGATTACATTTCTGAAGTGGCCGGTTCTAACCAGTTATTCATACCTGAAAGGAGAAAGGAAGTTTTCTTTGGCTACATTGAATAGCATCTGTTATTGAAGGGTATCTTCAGTACGTGTATCCCTTATGCCAGAGTATGTTTCTGGTGGACACCTTTGAGAGGGATGAGGGATTATAGTTAAAAAAAAAATCTTTTATGTCCCAGTTCCCCACCTCTACTCTCACCCTATCACAAATTTCATCTAGCATCAACTTCTTTCCTCCAAAATCTAATCATGATATAAATTTGCTATTGCAAAGGACTATAAATAAAATGCCTGAAATTCCCCCTTTAAACCATGGTCTCAGAATCTTCCACCAGAATTAGGCAAGCCTTCTTCTAGTAGCCTCATGCCATAGCCATGGTTAGCTTCTCGTTGTATGAGCTTGGGAAGATAATAATATTTACCCAGTGCCTTCCCATAGTTTTAGCCACAGAAGACTAGTCCAACAGAAGCTTGGCCCCAGACATGGAGTGAGTTGGCAGCCAGCAGGAGCAAAGCTGTGTCAGGACAAATGTACACTCCCCATCTTCTCTAGTTGGCTTTCAGCTGGTTGCACCACAGGAGTCTTTCTATGGGCTGTGTATCCTGTGACCAATAACTGGTGCACTCGACCCGGGTCCCTCTTGGCTAGTGAAGGCCTGTCGGGAGACATTAGGTTCATGCTGGTGGAGATCCTTAGTCAGTGGCTCCCTGAAGGAAAATGAGGCAAACAGCCAGCTTCTGTTGAACAGGTGGTAGTTAGACCTTAGATCTGGTCGGGCCGGGGGAGGGAGGGGGCGGGGACAGGAGGCAGAGAAAGAATCTCTCCAAAATTACCAGTATTGCTGGTTTTCACACTGTACCTGTACTCCTCTTTCAAATAAATGATTGTTTAGAAACGAATCCAAAAATATCTCTGGCAGCATCTGGAGCCCTTCCTTAGCAGTCTGGATTTGGGCCCAAGTTAGGAATGGAAACCCCACTGGGGTGCAAGCAAAAGAGGAAGCATGTTCTTAGCCATGCATCAGTGGAGGCCCCTACTGGGAGAGGGGATTATCACAAGGCAGCAGGCGGCCCTGCACCCCAGCCTGCTGAGTTCATGCTTTGTGCCACAGGATGTGGAGCGAAGGAAATGCGAGGCCAAAGTGGTCGCTCCAAGTTCTCTTATACAATGGCTCATTCAAGCAGATTGGGAATGCCTCTTAAGAGATTTGTTAGGTACATGTCCCCTTAGCAAGATGGCCACCACAGATGGTGGGTTCGATATAATAATTGAAATAAACATTTAACATTCATATTTATTTTGTACTTCCATAGTCAGCTTTTCTTTTATCAGTTGCCATTTTCTGTATTCCTCTGAATGAGGCAAGCAGAATTCTAACCTTTTACCAATTGGTTTCCATCATTAGCTATGGTTTTGAAATTAAATTCTGGCAAAAGATTTTTTTTTACCTAATTTTGGTCTTTTATTTTGTGATGGTACGTTACATAATATGGAAAAATTAATCAGCCAAGATTAACGTGTATCTATCCAGTAGCACTAAGTTTCTATATTTAATATGAAGCAATGATATTTGTACCATTATGTCTTTTGATGTGGTCATAAGTTAATTGTGATGATCATGTTTTATTTTGCTTCAAGCATTAATGAAAGACCACAGTATCTTTAGTTCCAAATGGTTTAGATCCAAGTCATTAAATCCTCTTTTCCCTCTTACACCTCTCCTTCTCCCCACACCCAACCCCCACCTTTCACTTCAGTGGGTCTCTTTTATAGAAAGCACTGCCTTGACGTCAGGGGCACTTGGAGCCTAAGACAAAAATATGAAAATCGGTTTCTTATTCGTAATAAGTAATATCACACTAAGTTCCAAAATTCTTTTCCTAAGGAATATTACTGCTTTCACTATATTGAATTCTTTCTGGTGACAGGCTTTGTTTTACCAAATTACAACCCGTTAAAAATCTTGATAAATCATGTCAGCAGATTGAAACAATACTTTAAAATGTACAGCAATTATTGGGGTTTTTAAAATTTTTTGCGGTATCAATTTTGTATTAGATGTAAATTTTGGAGAATAAATTGGTTCAGGAAAGTATATCATCTGATGGCAGAACACTTTGTTGTTGATTTCCACAGCACTGCTAATTTTCTGCATTGAGCCTGCTTAACAAAAGCTCTTTGAGAAGTTATAACATCTTAAACATTTATAGAAGGCCTAAGGGTATTAACTTACTGTAATTTTCTGAAGATTCATTATCCAAAATCTTAATTCATTATAACAACTCTTATGAAAACCTATAGAACCAGTGTTTTCCCTTATTTTCTTATTTGCACAGAATGAGAGATTCATTGTTCTTTTTAATTTGTTTCATGTGGTGCTTTTGAGTACATTTCATAGAGGGCTGTTATTGAATTTCTGTGACTGTCATTATATATCCATACAACCTTTAGAAACTAATATTCTGGGTTTCCCAGTTCTGTAATCTACTTCAAATTTAAGGATTGACATAATTAGTTTCTTCAAAGTTAAAACCAGAATGTTAGAGACAACACTGCAGATACCCAAGACCAGGAATTAGGGTTGGAAAAAGAGAGCAGTTTAAAAAATTATCATAGCACATGCTTTTATTCTTTATTAAATTAAATTTACAACTCAAAATCTTACTGCTATTTGTATGCTTATTCCTTGTCTGGTTTTCTTATCTTGTCTGGTTTCCCTTTAAAAACCCAGATACAAGATCACTTAAGCTACCTGCCTGTGCACGGGCAATATTTGTCATTTGGTTAGTTGAGAAGTTAGAGGATGTATGGGTTTTTGAAGCGTTATGTACATACCCAAATGCTCCTTTCTGAAATTGAAAAGTAAAATAAGCAGAGTCAAATAAACAGAGATAAGAAAACAAACCATACTATAAAACAGTTTTTTAGGACCATGCCTTCTCAAATCTATAATAATGATGATTCCTTACATTTTTAACAACTTTCTGTATTTCAAGACCTAGAGAGATGGATCAGTGGTTAAAATGGATAATTTTTCTAGCTTCTAAGATAATAGCTATGTAGAAGTAGAAAAAAAATGCAGTTTTGTAGCATGAAATTTCGAAGCTTTATGGCCTTTAACAAATACCATTTCTGATCATGATTAGAGTGTGTGAATTGACTGAATATATATGTAAAGATTTCAAATTTAGGTTTTGTTTGTTTTAACTTTGTGCAGTGTGGAAATCTTCGAGGTAAGCACCCTCTTATTCTTCTGTTATTTTTTATGTAATGAGCCTTCTCTTGAAACGGTATTAGCTGCCAGTTTTTAAAACCTACTATGAGAAAGGGTCCATCAGAAAAGCAGCATTTGTTGATAACTACTAAATGCCAAGCTCTGTTAGGTATCATCATTTCATCTGCCCAAAAGCCATTAAGTAGGTATTATTATTATTCCTGTTTTACAGGTAGGAAACCAAAATTCAGAGACTTTAACCTAGTTAGTGGCAGATCCAGAATTCAAATCCAGGTATCTTTGGGACCAAAGCCCTTCTACATTGCTAAGTTTATCAAGGCAATGTTCTAATTTCTTCTGGGGATGTTAAAAAATATGAATATTTTCCCTGCCGTCAGGCAGCACATGCTTGAAATATTTGAGGAAAGACATATGCACATGGAAAATTAATACTACAGCAAAATTGTATTCTGTTGTCTGATATGGGAAGTGCCACTAACGGGCTAGCCAACAGCGTATACTCTCCGTATCAAGGGAGAGGAGCTCTTCTTACCGCATCTATAGGGAGAGCTTCTTCCAGAAATACTATTTAAGCATTAACACCACATCTTTTTAAATAATGAAATTTTACTAGGGTTACTTCTGGTGAATAGAATTCTGATATTATTTTCACAGAGAAAAAGTTCTGTGCAAAAACCATACCTATTATGGGTTGTTTTCCTTTTGTTGAAAAATTGTGAAAGAAATGAAATCAGCCAAAATGTCCATTTTAACATTACATTCATTTTTTTATTCATTTAACAAACACTTATCGAGTATTCGGTATGGGAGATAAAAGAACATGATCTCTGCCCTCAGGGAGCTTATAGTCTAATAGAGAAATACAGGCATATTAAAAAAAAAAAAAGAGTGGGAGGAAGGCACAGATGGCCAGGCAAAACTAGCTTGTAATGAGTGCACATCCAGTTATGTGAAACACATAACCAAAGGCATAGCCATTTTCAACTTCACTGTATCCCTCAGAGAAGGATGGACAACATACATGAGCTTAGTCTCTTATTTCTTAAACCTTTGCTTATTTTTCATAATGATCTAATTACCTTAATTGATTCTGAAATAAAAAATTAGGATCTATGAACTAAAGGAAGGGTTTTTTTTTTCCCCTTCTTGCATTCCTATGCCAACTTCTGTATCCTTCCTTAAAATGAGTATTGTGATGTAGTTTCTTCTTGCTGTAATAAAAATTTTTTTGGTGTAGTGATAGAAGTTTTAGAAAATGTTGAATACCCCTAAATATTGTGTGAGAATTTTTCCTGTAGAAAACCTTCATTGACTTGTGCTTTGTGGTAAACATTCTTGAAGATATTTCCTCACTGGACAGACTACTTCCCACCCCCCAAATTATATATGTCTATGGTATAATTAAATTCCAAATGTTTGAAGACATTTTCATATTATCTGCATGCTCTCTGAATGATAAGGTGCCTTGGAAAATGTGAGACAGTCTTTTAAAAGAAATGCAGTAATCATACATTGATTTTAAATGACCCTGTCACACGTGAAAACAAATCAGATTGTTGCTCTTAATGAGCTTTTCAATTTACTATTCAGTAGATCAGATAAGTGGATTTAAGAGGTAATGATCCTGTTTAGTACTCAAGCTTGACTGTCAGATCCTAGTAGTGGAGAGAAATCCCTTGGGACAAAAACGTTGACACAGTTCTAGATGGGATAATGGGAATCAAAGCTAATGGATGATAAAAGGAATGGTGCAAGTTACAAGGATAATTGTGGATTAAAGCCCTGCCATGTGTCAATGTTGACTGTTTTTTCTAGTATCTTATTGGGTCAAATCTGGTGCTCTGAGAAACTGTTTTGACAGCAGAGCACAACAAACCTGCCTGCCTAGCTTCCTCCTTTCTTGAAGCCAGGGACACCACAGAAGACTTCCTTGTAAGAACTACCAATTTAAAAAAGATATTTTTTAAAGGTTAAAATGTCTTGAATGTTTAAAATCACATTTTAGTTATTATATCTTTATGATTCAATGTGGCTTGGGTAAAATCAAAATTAGATTAATTCTGAGCTATGCCATAAAAAAGATAGCATTTCTAAAGCCTTGAAAATGTAAAGTTTTGTTTTACAAAAATACAGTACAGTGTGGTGGGGGAGATGGACACCCAGACAATTGCAGTGTGAAAAATACTTTGAGAGAGGGATAGACCAGACACTGTCGGAACATAAAGGAGAGTGCAACTCATTCTTCCTGGGAAGGCAGAAAAGGCTTCCGAGGAGATGACTTTTGAATGAGAATCAAGGGGAGAGAATGAAGGCAAAATGATTCGGGCAGAATGAACAATACATGAACTCCTAGAAATCTGAAATTTTGTGAGAAGCCTCAGTTGGTCCATCAGTATTTCACTGTGGCTTCAGATGGAGATGAGGTATGTTGGGGCCAAGTTGTAAAGGGCCCCATGTGCCATGAATCATATCAATATCAGAGTTTCCAAGGGCCCAATTTACTCCCATCCATGAGAGAGGTTTCGGGTTATGCTGAGATAAGGGAAACTTCCCTTTCTACATACCAGTCTTCCTTCGAGCCTTCTATGTGCTTAAAGATTTCTGATCATTGAGGATTGGTGGTAACTCATTTCCCGAGATTTTTCTCTCCCTGGCTCGCTCTTCCCCCTAAACATCTTACTAACAGAGTGATAGCTTCAATCTAATGAGCGATGAAGGCCTACTCTCATGAGCAAAGCCATAGATACAGTAATTGAAATGCTTTTCTGTAGGGCTCAGAAATTAGCAGAAGAGTTGCAACAGGAATGTGAATCTCAATCTTCCTTTCTCTCTCCCCCAGCTTTTCCCCTCCACCTTTCTGCCCCTTCTTTCCTTCTTTTGCCCTCTCCACTTGCCCCTTCCTTTCCCTCTCTCTCTCCCACTGATTCACTACTGCCTGAGCAGCTTCTGGTTATAGGACTTAGGTTGAAAGCCCAGCACATGAGCTTCTACTTTAAATAGTGTTTAAAATCCAGATATGAAATCTCTGCAATGAACAGCGTCCCTCCCCTGTATAGCCCTATAATTCTGGGTGATTTGTGGTGCCCTGTGATTTTTATCTCACCTTCATGACCTATGGCAGAATACCAAGCTGGTGTTTACGTGTGAAAAGCAAAAGGCATAGGGAGTGAAAGCTAAGTTGCCATACCATACCCTAGGAAATAGGCAGATCAGGAGAAAGTGAGAAAACACAATCACAGGGGATCAAATCACAGACGAAAAATCCCATACAGCTGGTGTCTGGCAGGGATAACCTGGAATCACACCAGAGCATCAGGGAGTATGGAGGTGTCAACCCACCTCTCAGCTTTGCCAGGCTATTAGGGAATATTCCATTGGCTGCTGGTGGCATTTTCCCAGTTGAAGTGGGATATGTGTTTATAAGCTCAATGTGGCTTGGGTTGGGACTGAAATGTTGCACCCCAAAGTCTGCAACCAACACTCCCTAATTGGAAGCTTAGTGGATTCCCAGGCCCTGATGTATTCAGCAGAGAATCTCTGAGCCTGGGATTTCAGTTTCAGCATGGAAAGTAAGACGTATCTCTGTATTTGGGGGAACTTAATTGAGAGATTTTTGAGGAGAATGTCTATAAATTCTTTAATTTCCTCTTACTTTTGAAATCCTTATTTTTATAACTGACTAACATAATCCTGAATTATTTGATGGTTTGCTGATATCTGGAATAGATAGAAATTTTTTAAATGCCAGAGCATTTTATTGAGACACTTCATTTTTTAGCCCTTTATATACATATGCCCGTCTTTGAGAAAGGGGTGGTTTACCACTTTGAAAAAAAAAATTATGTGGTGTTCTGGGAACAAAACAACTACGTGAGTGTGGGTGTGTATTTCAAAAAATAAGAGAGGTACTTCCTGGAAGAAAAAGAGAGTAAATTATTAAATTATACTTTTTTACAAAAATCCTTCATTTGCTCTCCCTACGTACTCCCTTCTTCAGTGTGGATGCGACAATGCTTTAAATCTTACATTTGTTCAATTTGAATAGCCTTTTGAAAATATATGTTAATGATAAAGCTTTTAACAGTTAAAATGTTTTCATCCAGGTATATGCCCGTATGTCAGAAGTTTTAGGAATAACAGATGACAACCATGTTCTAGAAACATTCATGACGAAAATGTGAGTTCTTTGATTTTTCTTTCGTTGTTGTTGCTTTGAATGTAATAGATATTTTTACTGTGTTTAAATCTCTTAATAATTTTAGTTTTTTAATAAAAGACCTTTTTAAATTATGCTATAATTCTTAGAATGGTAGCATTGTTCTTAATTGAAACTTAATTTCACATATTTAAAATTCACAATCCAAAAGGCATTCTTAATCTGTCAAGGTACCCATACAACTGCAATATGCAACATCAAGATATGGGTTTTAAAACGTTTACAGACTTTGATTCTTCAAGTCAATTGGGCAGCATTTTTGTTTTTAATTAGAACGAAAATACCCAGTTTCAAAGACCAGCTGAAGAGATTATTGCAAGCTGGAATCATTGGGAGAGGTCTGATTGCCTTAAGACAGGGCATTCATTGATTCCAGCGGAAACCTATGGCTATCGGAGACATACTCATGGAAACTTGCCTTAAATCATCCTTTCTAATCTGTTAGCAGAATAAACTAGTTTCTAATCATGGACATAATTTTGTACATTTAGCCTGAATTTGTATGTCTCCATTTGGCAACCCACTTTTATCTGTGTAACAGGTAGATAGTACTGTGTTGCTTGCAGAGAACAAAGCTACAGAAACAGTCATGATCATAAGAAGTGAGCTCTGGAGCCACAAGTTTGATGGTTCATTTCTGGGTCATAACTGTGAGCCTCTCTTTGACTTCCTTTGTAACGCTTGCTGTCATTCCCTAATATGTTTATTTTAGACACAAACTTGATGTTTCTTCAGTGAAACAGGCAATTTTTTAATTTATGAAACTAAATTTAGAGAATTATATACCATTTGGAGAACAATGCTCATTATACATTGATTGGATATAATTTTGATTATGCCATTAAAAAGAATAGAATAGAAAATGTTCCCATGGTATTTAAACCTGTTTTTCAATTTTGTGAGATATTTCTGACTTAGGTGACCTAACTTACGTAAATATCTGTGTATTTCCATGTTCTCTCTATACAAGCAAATACCTTACTTACAATTAAAACCATTTTTTTTTTCATATTTAGTGTTACAAATCTTAAATACTGGGGAAGATGCGAGCCCGTGATTTCAAGGACTCTTCAGTTCCTAAATGATCTTTCTGTTGGATATCCTTTTTACTGTATATCTAGTAATGTATAGAAACACCCTAACACGTGCATTCTGTTGGCCAGGTATTTTCCTTGTTCATAATGTTTGTAATTGTTTTTAATTAAAAAAAAAAAAAAACCTTTCATTTAGCCTTATCTGCAAAGTATGTTTTTGAAAGATTTATATTAGCTACCAACTAGGAACATTTATCCAGAATCACAATTGAATTTATATGGATATATAGATTCCTAACTAGTGAAAGTTATGTTTATATCCATCCAGTTTAATAAATGGAGACAGAAGAAAGTATGCAACCACATGTGTTTTAGTCCGTGATTTTTCTTAATTGTCAGGGAGTTCTTGTTTTAAAAGAAAGCATGTAACTAATTTGAAGAAGGTCAAGATGTTCTAAAAATATTACCTTCTAAAAATTGAATTCCTGAGGGTAAATACTATAGCTTCAGTATTCTTCAATTGAAAAGAGTATTATTTTGATTAGTTAAGAGGCACAAAGGAGTAATAGGAAGAAAATTTTGTAAGTTTTTTACCACTTCTTGGATTATTGCCGCCACCAAATCAACAGCTTATTTACTCTAAAATAAGATTTCCCATTATGCATTAAATATTTGGGTTTCTCTCTTCAGCAGATTTTTTAAATCTAAAACCAGAATCATCCTTTCTTATTATATTATAGCTAATACTATTGTCCTGTTTCTACCAATGAGAGAGAAGCATGTAGATTGTCTTTTATATGTTAGCTATCAAATATATAGGAGTTATGAAAAATAAGTGTTGGTTTAGTTAACCACCAAGATTAGCTGATATTTAAATATGAGGACAGCATTCTGAAAATCAGTGGCATTAGATGGAAATTTTTAATGTAGGTTTACTGCAGGAATATGTTTGTATTAGTTAAGTTTAAAATTGTGTTCCTTGGGAAACCATAAAAGATTTCCAAAGTATTAGACACCCACTTTTGTGCTGGAATTTAATATGCAACTTTTTATTGGAAAATAATCGTCCTTGTCTGGCAAAATCCACCATGCAATATTTCTGTTAGTAGGTATAATGTAATAAAGACAGGGAGGGCTATTTATCACTACAAATTTTGAGGATTTCAGGATTCTTTTTATTATTTTAATATATTTCTTTGATATTAAATCAGAAAAATGATAAATTACACCTGTCCAGGCTGTTTTTCCTTTTTACTGGAAAGTGATGTACAACCCAATTCCAGTGGTCATTTTGGCTTTTTAAGATATGTATTTTTTCTTATTAAAAAAAAACTCAACCTGTATTTTTTTTTAATAATAATGCTGAAATACTCTTTATTTCTAACATACGAAGTGGTTTATAAGTACTTCCTAGTCTTGCAAACTCTGGCCTTTTCACAGTGAATTACTTTGAGAGCATATTATCTGGAATGAAGCCGGTGTTATTTTATAGCACGTATCTATTGTTTAGATTTACCCTATTTTTTAGGTTGGAATTGAAATCTAATATAAAATTAATTCAATTTGTATTCTTTTTGGAATAATTTGCATAATGCCTAATTTATTTCTCTCCTCTATTTAAGTAAGGTCCTTTTCCTATCACCTTATATCTCTTATATATTCTTTAATCCTAAAATTATAACCGTTTGTTTCATAAGGTGCTTATTGCTTTTGAACACTTCTTTTTGACCTTAATAAAAAATCATATTTTCAGAAAACTTACTAGATAAAACTTAAAAGCTATACATTTAAACCAAGGGATACGAATGATTTCAACTTGGGTACATTGATTTATATTTTTTAACAATTATTTCAGGTTTCCATATTTAGAAATATATATTAGTTCAATTTGATTTCAGTGCTCAGTTATTTGAATTATAAATCATTATGTCCCTCCTAGCTGATCAGTCATGAAATATCTTTGAATTCATTTACATAATGGAATATGTGAGTGGTATGTCTATTTCAGTGCAGTTGCTGGTTACCTAATGCATGTTTTGTTGTTTCCAATCGATTTCCTTATTATAATGTGTTTTTAAATCCTGATTTTAAAGCAATACATTATATCTGTGTTAAAAATAAGATGGCACTCTTCAGCAGTAGAAACAGTTATGCAAGATAAAAATCATCACCAACTGGCCTCTATTAATGGAAATCTGTTTATATATTAATATTCAAAATATTTGTATTTAAAATATTAGTAAGGAATAACTGAAAGGCGTCTTACTACAAAGTTTTTAAATGTTCCTGAATACTTTCTAATGCATGTCTTCAGATACTTTTCATTTTTTCTGTTTTTATCTTCTTCAGAGTGAATCCTACGCAGTGTTTGTTTATGGTTCTCAAAGCCAGTCTGTGAACTTTGGTATTCTTGTATCTGACCACTGATTTGGAAATTGAAATCACAAAAGATCCTCATTTTTAGGAAGTGCTGAAAAGTCTCGTGTTTACTTGCCTTAAGATAGTAGTCTCAAACTTTAGTGATGATCAGAATCATTAGAGGGCTTGTTAGAATACAGATTGCTGGACCTCACCCCCAGAGCTGATGTTTTAAGAGGTGTAAGAAGACTGAGGCCTGAGAATTTGCATTTTCAGCAAGTTTCTGGTGATGCTGGTGGCTTAGGGGCCAAACTGTGCTCTTTAAGATAATTGGGAAATAGGACTGGATATCCCAAATAAGAAAATCAAGTACCTCTCTATAGGACTTTGTCTTCACTAGGGAAATGCAGACTTGACATTTTTGGAGATAGTGTAGTTCCTCTAAATCATAATGTGTGTGACGAGGCCATTACATTAAGTCCCCAGATTTTGTTTTATTTTTTTTTTAAGATTTTATTTATTTATTTGACAGAGAGACAGTGAGAGAGGGAACACAAGAAGGGGGAGTGGGAGAGGGAGAAGCAGGCTTCCCGATGAGCAGGGAGCCCAATGTGGGGCTCGATCCCAGGACCCCGGGATCATGACCTGAGCTGAAGGCAGACGCTTAACGACTGAGCCACCCAGGCGCCCCAAGTCCCCAGATTTTAACTGGAGAGCCTGTTGCATTTTACCCCAAGGTTTGAAGCTTTCCAAGTTGGTAAGATTACTGTAATTTTAAAATCCAGTGGCCTTTTTGAGGGAAAATTTGTTTTCCCATCAGATTCATTACATGGGGCATATATAATACATTTAGCAGATACATCTGAGTAACTTTTTAAGAAACTCTTCAAATTTCCAAGACTAAATTTCAAGAATTCCAGATTCTAAATAGCTTTATCTAACATGAACAGAGTTGAAATGGCTCTGTCCTGGGCAGCCCTCTACATCCAGGTTTAATACTTGTGGATCCTTTTCCCTCTTTCAAATACTTTGCAGTTTTTGTCTAACTGGGAAAGGGGTTTCTGTCTAGTTCTGTCTAACTGGGAAAGGGGTGATATTGTTTAAGTGATGGAACAGGGAAGCTGCTGGGGAAACTGGGGAGAGAAGGGTCGTACAAAGCAACCAAATAAACTTATTTTAAGTGTTGAGAAAGAGAGAGAAAAGTGTTACATTTAATCAAAAATTCTGTTTGTTTATTAATCATTATTTCAAGGGTTTTTTTCCCTTGAAAAGTAATTGATCAGTATTTCTACTTAAATTCATTGTTTACTCAAATTTACAGCAACACCATGTCTCACTTTGGGTTTCAGGTAGATAATAATGAGAAAGGAAATTTCATTTTCTGTTAGGCCCTCTGTTGGTAGTCGCCCTTACTACATCATCTTCAAGAAAACCCAGAATATCTTTAGCTTTTTAAAAACAGACCCCAAACCAGATTCTACACTAATTCGTGAATTTATCCAAACTCATTTTACCCTGTTGCAACTGTTAACTACAGTTCTTAGGATGAATAACTTCTCCATGTTATTGCAAGACCACCTATATAATTCTCAGGGCCACGCACAAAATGAAAATGTGGGGTGTCTTGTTCATAAGTTATCAAGACTATCAGGGCACCTGGCTGGCTCAGTCAGTGGAGCATGTGACTCTTGATCTCAGGGTTGTAAGTTCGAGCCCTTTGTTGGGTGTAGAGATTATTTAAAAATAAAATCTTAAAAAAAAAAATTCAAGGGCGCCTAGGTGGCTCAGTCTGTTAAGCGTCTACCTTCAGCTCAGGTCATGATCCCAGGGTCCTGGGATTGAGTCCCGCGTCGGGCTCCGTGCTCCACAGGGAGTCTGCTTCTCCCTCTACCCCTCCCCCCACTCATGTTCTCTCAAACTCTCTTTCTCAAATAAATAAATAAAATCTTAAAAAAAAAAAATTCAAGACCTCAACAACACAGCATTGAAGCAAGCACAGGCCCTTCTAAGCATAGAAGAACCCTGTGCAAGGCATAGCATGGACATCTATGAAGCTGGCTCAAGTTCTTGGTTAAAGAAATAGTTCCCTCCATTTGGCTTCACACTAGCCCTCTAAGACTTTGAGACTATCTCCTTAGTTCCTGTACACCAGGATTTGGTGAATATAATTCCTACCCACATGCATCATTAATCTATTTATCTGTCAGTAGCTTCTCTCAATTGTTCTCATTTTTACAAGCCAAAGAGTCTGCTTCCTGTTCAGGCTGCTTGGTCACCGTGATGCTTTTCTTTTTTCAACCCCAAACCCCTTCCAGTTTCATTTGTCTTTTCATGCTTGTTTTTTGTTGTTGTGTTAGTGCAATACCCAGAACTGCATCCTTTTAGATTTAACACTAAGAGTAAAATAATTTAATTCCATATTCATCCTAATAATTTACTTTATAGTACTGGCCTCTTTCAAGTCAGCAAATATTAATTAAGCATTTTCTAAGTACAGAGCAAAAAGACAAATGAGACACAGACTCTGCCCTCACAGATTTTAAATTCTAACAGGATTGATCCTAATTCCAGACCTCCTTTCATATATTTTTCCTAAGAGCCCAAAGTCTGTTGTTTTAGTAACATAGTTTCTTTTTCTTTTTAAAATTTAACTCAAATAAATTATATGCTAATTGTCTGAAAGTCTGTGCATTAAAAATAATGTGGGTATGTGATACTTTGATATGGTAGTTTTGAGGGAGCTCTTTTTAGGGTCATTTAGATGTAGCTTATATAGAAACCATTAAGTATACAAGTAATGTGCAAGCCAGACCTCCTTACCCTCTCACTAATCTTCCCACCACTGGGGTGTAAATCCTGAATTAGGTGGGGGTCAGGAAAGAGTAGGGGGTGAGAGATGAAACCAAGGTGTAGAATGAAATAAGGGTGAAGGATGGAAGTACAATTGGGTATGTCTGTTACAGCAAATACTTAGTAATAACCAGTAGTAATTCTGCTTTTGTGAAACAATTAAAATGTATTGCTTTATTTCAGTGAATACCACCATCTCCAGATGGTTTTGAGAATGTTAAATAAAACTAGTTTCAGCATATATTCCTCAGGCGTACTTCTATTAACGTTTCTCATCAAAAGAAATGTTGATTTATTTCTTTGTTTTCTGTCTCTATTATCCATGGAAAAGTCATCCCATAATTTATCTGCTCCATTTGTTTTTAGACTAGAATCAAGTGTGAGAATCCTCTCTACCCACTTATTCAAACCTTCACCCAATTCTTTAGATTCTTGCTTCACAAGATTACCTTCCTCGAGTATTATTGTGATCTGATCATTTCTCTTCCCAAAAGCCCAGAATCGCTTCCACTTGCTTCTCGGGTCAAAGTAAAATTATTGATTAGAACTTGAGTCCTGTAACAGTACTTGACTTATTGAGTTCTCATAACTAATTTCCTGATCCACCACTCAACCACAATTTGTACTTTATGCCCAGGCCAGGGAAATTTATTTTACCTTCCCCTTGACACCCTTCATTGTCTTTCACTGAATCACCACATATGCTATTCTTTTCATTTGATCCATTGCAACTCAGTTAGGTCTCTTTTAAATTTTCGGGTCCTGCTAAAGACTTAGTGAAGCCGTACTAACGCAGTTATGATCCTTTGTCATGGTATTAACTGAAAGAACATAAACAAATCATTTAGTTTCTCAGAGGCTCAGTTACTTCATCTGTAGAAAGGGAATATTATCTGTCTCTTGGGATTTTGTAAGGATTAAATAAAATAATAAATATGTAACAATACATCTTTGCCCAGCAGCCACGCTAACCTTCTCTGTATCATTCCAGGTTTCGTATATGTGCTGCCCGCAGCACTGTAACAATACATCTGTTTATCTCATAAAATAAGGCGCATGGTACTGCTGACCCCATCACATAGGAGGTGCTCACGGAATATTAATTCCTTTCATTTTCCTTCCTCTCATCTTTATTTTTCTTAATGTTCCTGTACACCTAGTTCTTATCTATATATCTGAGGATGACTATCATATAGCTTAGTATTGGCTAGTCCTTTCTATTACTTTGTAAGTTATTAGAGATTAGGAGTCTTTTTTTTTTTTCCCTCTTCTCTTGTTTCAAAATTTCACATAGTGGGCATTTGAATTAATGTTACCCCTTTTGTTAATTGACAAAGCCTTAACTCGTATTCCTTATAAGTAATTATTAGTATTCCTTAAGATGCTTCATTTTGGTTAGGTGTATTTGGATGTTTTTAGGTTAGTGGGGTTTATAAACGTAATCTCAATTTTGAAATAATGACACTAATATTTCAGTCATTGTACTTTGTACCTATCATCCGCCTATAGTAATTTCCAGCACATCATTTTCTTATCTATGAACTTTCTTCTATCATCAGGATCTAATTCTGTCTGCAAAAACTATTTGTAAACATGTATGGTTTTTAAGTAATTGCCTAGATCACTGTATCATCTACGTCTGGTGCTTAGTGGATATCATATGCCTAATATACCACTCCTTTTGATTCTACAACAGAAATTGCTTCACATTTTAACACTTCTGTAAATAAGATATACATAAATACCACAATTGATGGTATTTTAAAACACCTTTCTTAGCACATACAGTAATGATGTCTATTATAACCAGTGGCATTTTAGGTTTGATGAAATGTTGTAGGTACTCAGTAAAGGCTAGATACCATGAATTGAAGTCATACTTGGTCCTGCTATATGCCCATCAGCTACTGAAGTGTGTAGTACTCCTGTAACTGAAGAAACCAGTTCATTCTCAATTTGGTTTTCCCCTTCAAAGGTACAAATTTTCAAAATTTTCAGAATTTTCCATCTGTAAGATACACCATTTGTCTTGACTTTTTCTTTCCTTTCTTCATTTGTCATGTTAGCTATCAATAAGACCGTGTTCACCTTCCTCGGTGTTTTCATAATCACATGGATACAAACAGGAATTTCCTAGGAATTTTGTTTAGTGCATTAACATCAGCCAGGCTATGGAGTTTGCTCTGTTCTGGGTGTGGTGAAGGCTCATTAATGAGCCTAAAAGAACAGTTTCCCTGTCTTTTCTGGGACCCAGTTCCAGTTTCTCTTAATGTTTCAAAAAAACTAGTGATCTCTATAAAATCACTGGCCTCTTCAAAATCAAATGGATATGATGTACCCTAGTGAAAAGAGCTTATAGTGTAGAGTCAGACAGATGTGGATTTGAATCTTAGCCCTACCATTTACGTGTTCCAAGAGTGACCTTTACTAAATTCTCTTACTCACTACTCTAGGCTCCTGCTACTGGTGCTGTTATGTTAGCCACCATTACCATGTTCACTGTGGGGAGCTGGTTCCAGACAAGCCTCTGAAATCTAACCTAGTCCTGCCATGCAACTAAAATGCTGCCACCCAACAGAAATGGTGCATCTTCTGAGAATCCGAGGCTCTTAGAGAAAACAAGATGAAAGTAAAAAGATCATAAAGATGATGTATCCATTTGCCTTTTTAAAAAAAAAACATTACAAACTCTCTTAAGGGCCGTGATAGCTTTGAGTTGCATTCCTATAAGGGGATATAAATAATCAGATGAATTCTTATTTTTTTCTTTATTGAAAAAAGTAAAAATTTATTCTTAATCTTTTTTTTTTTTTTTTTTTTTTGCTTTAGAATGTAATTAAAAGGCAGTGAGGCTGGCCTTGATACAAAGTGCACAGATGCAGTTCTACAGAAAATGTGTCTTTGGCAGATGAGATTCTTCCTATGAATGTTCTGTTTATTGCTACCATAAATATTCTATTGTCAAAACATGACTTGCTGTTTATTAGTAGCACTGACAGGAAGACTCCTATTAATGGCAGCATTCTTATTACCCATAGACGCTGTCACTTTTAACTTTGCAATTCCAAGAGAATTGTATTTGGTAATTACTTAAGATATTTCTTAGTTTATTGATCCCCACCCCTGTTTAAATGAGTGAAGATTGAGTGGCAGTTCTTCTGCTCAGTGATTTATACTGGGGGAAAAAATCATCAAATCTCATCTTTGTACACAGGGAAAGACCTCCCGCCTACCAGCCCTGATCTTGTTCCCCTTCAACCTGCCAGAAAAACACAGTGCATGAGCACCCACTGAGAGCAGTGCACTGAGGAAAATGCATTGGTGTGGCCCCTGCCCTTAGAAAGCTTACAGCCTTAATATGGGGGTGAGCCAAATACACATGCTTAACATGCAGCTGGAATTGTTGCTTTAGAGTCAGAGGGACTTGAATCTGAATTATACTGCTTGTCTTTTGGAAAGTTTTATTGAATTTTTTTGAATTTGTTTCCTCATCAGAAAAACAGAAGTGATACTGCCTATCCCGTGGGCTTGTGAGAATTAACCCTGCAAGTAGCAAACATTCTGTACATGTTAATTCTCTGCATCTCTGTGTCTTCCTCCCTGACTTATAATTGGCAAAGACATTTGCCTCATCTGATCCTCACAACAATCCTGTAGCTTGGGTATCACCCTCATTTGTTGGAGAGGGGAAACTAAGGCCCAGAGTAGCTGAGTATGGCACTCAGACTCATCCAGCTGATTGAATGGTGTAGTCAAGCCAAAAGCCCAGCTTTTCTGACTCGTGTTCAATGTTTTTTCCTGATCTTTTACACCGACACCTGAATGACTAAGTAAGAGAAGAGGGTGTTTGTATACTCAATAGATGTTCTTAGCAACACATCAGCCCTTCTTTGGTGGCAGCATTAACGAGAAATTATTTAGGTCTTGTGCTAATGTTTATGATTTCTCAACTTTATTCTCATTCTGACTTGAACTGTTCAGGTGGTAATGTGGTACACTACAAAGAACATGGCCTCTGTAGTCAAACCTCAGTTCAAATCTCAACACTGTCAGTCCATAGCTGTGTAATCTTGGGTAAGTAACTTAATTTCTCTGAACTTCAGTTTTTTTAATCTATGGATTAGAAAAAAATAATATTTAACAGGGTAATTGTGAAGATTAGGTGAATAAACAAATATGAAATGTCTTAAACCCTAGTAGGTACTTGAGAAATATTAGGTCATTTAAACCTGTCCTTCAACACTTGATGACATGCAGTCGGCTACGTCTTTCTAACTGTATTCTGATCTTCTTCATCTAAAGCAGAATTTCCTTAGATTTCTACTAACTGGGCTCATTGTTTCTTAGAATTGAATAATTTTCTCTTTCTGGATACTCTATTATGAGTCTTTTATAATTATTTTTTATGAAATAATATTAAGTGAAAAGAAGTGCTCGAGTTATATCCAAAATGTAAAAAGGGTCAGTTTTAATTTTCTACTATCAAGGCTTTAATAGTAAAGAAGTTTTTGTCTTAATTATAAAATTCATTTTTCCTTTCCATAACTAGAATATGTATAAGATAGGAAAAGTAATTGCACTGGTTAATAATGGATTATCATTCTTAACAGAATGAAAGACACTTCTGTAGGAATACTCTTTAGAAATAATATCGATTCTTCATAAATAGAATTTGATGCCATTACAGTTCAGGGTTATTTTGTGATTTATTATCTATTGATAAGACAATTATATTTCTCCAGATTCCTTAACTTCTTTTACCTATATCCTTTTAAAAAAACTTGTGAAGATAGATGCCGTGAAATTCATGCTAAAAAACCACACAGTAAGTCTTATTTCTTTTCATTCATGACTAGAATTTTCTGGATAGCTTAGGTAAAGCGTTAGTAACTTTGGATGCTCTTCTGCTTTCATTAGAGTGAACACTTTCCCTTCCTTGGAATCAGTGACAGTTACAGTCTCAATGACTTCAGGTGCCGAACCACTTTCTACACCGCCCTCACTCGCCTTCTGATGGTAGATCTAGGTAAGGTGAAGAATTGATTCTTAACTTGATTAATAAGGGTTCAGCAATATACTTGAGCAGTTAAAGGAGCAGACTACTAGTGAGTACCATATTTAAGTTACTAGAATTTGCCCTCTTTGACAGTTTTCTGCAACTCCCTATGATTTGGGCATCAGAGCCAAAAGACAAATCTTTGTACTTAAAGTGGTATTTTTCACTTCGAATAGAACCTGCATTAATTCTTTACCTCAGGATTTGTTTTCTGGGTATTCTTTGATCCATTAATTTTACTGCTATGAATCTAGGAGTAGTCTTAAATAGAGAAAAGCTTTACACATAAAGATTTTCTTTGTAATGACATTTAATCTAGAGAGAAGCTGGAAATGATGTAAATATCCGGCAATAGGGAATTGTAAAGTTAAAGCACATCTACTTACTTGATGGAGTAGTCTGTCGTCATTAAAATCAGGATTTGAAGACAGTGCAATACATGACATTTTATAATATTAAGTGAAAAAGCTAGCTGTTAAACTGTGCAAATGATATGAGCATGCCTGGGGTGTGGGTGGGGAATGCATCCAAAAAAGACTTAAATGAAATTCTTTAAAAATGTTAAATGTTGTTTTGTGGTAGTGACTTTTTCTCATTTTTGATTATTTGAAATTTTCTTAAGGGGGTACTTTTATAATGGGAAAAAATATAACTTCTTTAAAAATTTTTCCATTGAAAAGCTGAAGTTAGCTAGACATATCCACAGGTAGACAGTACCTGAGGATGGGCACTTAAGCCTCTTTGTGGTGACCATATTATGCTGGGTTCCCATTTCCCCCCCATGTTTGAATACTGCAGGTTAAATTAATCAGTTTATAGACACAAGAAAGAGTTCAATCAATGACGATATCATCCTTAGAGAATATAATACTGATGATACTTTTTTCATCCTTTCTCTTGCAATGTATTGATTGATCCATCAACTTAAATATGAATTTTTTAAAAGCATGATCATACAAAAGGAAAAAGGTTAATTTTCTTTTGCACATAAAAGACATTGCTCCTTGTAATAGAAAGGTGACTAAACCACCCTCTGTTCCACATCTGTATTATTTTCATGCATTTCAACAGACTAAATTACCAGAGAGACAAACAGCCAAAAGTTGAGAGAAATGCATCTAGAATGATTAAGGAGCTTGGTGGGATTGATTTCTAAAGAAAGATTAAAAGAACCATGTATGTATAACTTGGCTAAGTGACAACTAGGGCTTGAGGCAAAGAGAACTGTCTATAAATATTTGAAGAGTGTAAACCAGGCATGCAAAACCCAATCATCTGCTACCTTAGGCAAGTGGGAGATCTGAGTGACAGCTTTGCATACTGCACCCTGGTCTGTATTACCTCTTGGCTGCTGCAGTGAGAGAAGAGGAGCGGCCTGACTCTTTGTCACTGTCCTCAGTAATCACTGAGAGAACACACTGTGCTGGGAGCTCTGAGGGCAGGACAGAAACCAGCCAGGCATCCAGGCCCCTGCCCTCAAGGAGCTTGCCCTCTTGCTTCCCTCCCAGTTGTCCAAGCATTAACGAAGAGTTGTCTAGACCCTTGTCTAGACTGAATTTATTTCCTAAAGCCTTAAAAATGCTCCTTACATGACCCTGTCAGACAGTGAAAGAAGTGGGGAGACCAAAGTTAAAGAGAACTAAATGGAGCAGATTTCCTGGAAATAGGTTCATGTCACACACGTTTTCAGGACCTGGAAATGGAGTGGGTCAAGATCCTTTCTCATATAGTCATCATAGACAAAAGAACCTTCCATAGATCCATGGTAGCTTAAACAACAGCACAGCACTACCAGTATTGACCTCATGTCCACACTTACCATTGTGATGATAGCTGGGAGTCATGACGGTGCCCAGAAAGACCCTGCATTACCCGCTGCCACTTTGTAGACTCCTTTTACGTAGTCTCGCTTAATGTAAACTATGAGGTATGAGAAGCGCAAGTAAAATATCTAAATTTGAATAACTGAAAAAGGATTTTACTAGGTTTCTCAGGGTTACATTCCTTTGAATTACTTAACCCATAACAATATATAGTGTAAATTCTTTTAGTTCACGGTTTTTTCAAAATGGTAAATATCCACTATGTTGCAAACACGTTTTAGATAGCTTGGGAGGAATAGAAACTGACTATGTGGAAGTGCCTGGTACGTGGTAGGTGCTCAGTACAAGGAAATTGAATCTGGGTATAGATAAAGTTAGAAACAATGGCAACTACAGTCATGGAACTTTAACATTGTTTGAAAAGAAAGTCTTTATTTATTAGTGGTTTTCACTTTTTGAAATAATTAAATGTATATTACAAGCATCAAGGGACGATTTGTGGTATATATTAGCAGAGCTGCTATTTCTTGTTAAGAACCAGAGTTGCTCTTCTTCCCCAAAATACATTGAGCTCCTTCAGGGCATGGACTTTGCCTTTTTCATGTTTTCTAGCACCGATCTCCATACTGCTACACTGTAGGTGCTCAGTAAATATTTAGTGAATGAATGACACATAAGTATGTTGCAACCAAGATGCCATCATCATGGTTCCTGGAATCAGCAATTCCTTCCAGGTTCTTTCTGGGAGTAGCTTTGATCATTGACCTCTCCAAGACAAAACAAATCAAGTGGCTGACTACTTTCACAAGTGATCAGCTACACTTGGCCACTCTTGTGCTCAATTAATCGCTTGTTGCTCTCTGTTCAAAGTGTTATTACTTTATAGATGATCATTTGTTGAGTGTTGCTGAACACAGTTTTATTATTTGAAGCCTTGTCTCACAAACTAGGTTGACTGGCACGTAGCTGCCAGAGTTCCTGTATGTGTGGCTTTATAGTTTTCTATTGTGTATTCACTGTCATGGAAACAAAGAAAAAAGAGATGGTGCTGTTGTCAAAAGAAGCACAGATCCATGTATTAAATGAAAGAAGTAAAAATATTAGGTAATGAGAATTCTTCTCAAAGGAAAATTAGAGAAGAACTTCTTGTATCACTGATTTTTTTTTTTTGGTCAAAAATCAAATAGAAGAAACACCCGAGCAACCTGCTTGTGAAGCATGAGATGTAATTCTTGGACTGAAATATAAAGCATATCCTAATTGAATCCAACAAACTAAACTGAGTATGTTGTGTATGAACCATACCTGCACATTGGAGTGATTAGAAAAGGGGAAAAAAATTGGGTGTCACATTAATTGGTGTTTACTTTGAAATGCATTTTGGTTTCTAGTCAATTATTTGTACTTTGTATGAATTTAATTAGATGCTATGTGCCCCGGGTTGTATTTCAGATGAAAATGGGGGTTTTTTGGCAATAAACCGTTGTACCATTTTATCAAATTGCTCCTTGGCTACACTAGATGAAATGTTCACTTGTATAAAGAACAGAATTGAAAGCATTTCATCATCAGAATGATGGTATTTAATGTTGGCAATGTATTTCTATATTCTAAGAAATTATAAAAATTAATGCAAAAACTCTCTTCACAAGATAACATACATACAGAAGAAAATGGGTGGCCATCCATATATGCACGCATGTTAGCCCTTCCAAGAATCACTTAAAGTTCCCTAGGTTATTTTTAAATTAACTTTGTCAATCTAATAAACTAAAGGAAAGATAATATTACCCAAGCCAGTAAATGGAGACCCTCCAGGGAGCTGTTCAGTATAAAATACTTGAATAAATAAAACCTTCTATTTTGTTTAATTTGAATAGAGGTGAATTCAGTTGACAAATATTGGAGAAGAACTACAACAATGCTCTTTGTTTTGTGGAGTACTGAATATTATTCATTGCAAGTTAAGTTTTTACCAACCACAAACTTAGAATTACTAGTGTCACTAAAATTGTTTTTCCTTGGTGTCCCTAACAGTTGCTTTTCTTGGCCTTTTTATGATTGCACCTTATCTTGAACTACTCAGATGAGAAGCATGTTGCTAGGATCTGAGTGAGCAGTGTTTTCCTCAGATACTCAGACTCTAAGAAAAAGCCCTATCCTGTAATGATCAAGGGAATGTTAATATTAAAATGTTATTTATAGACATTAAGAGATATTTTCTCTTTAGGGAGGAGCATGCTATAATATTTACCTACCTTTGTGGCTTTTAATAGATAATTGGCACCTGAAGATATCCCTAGCTTAAATTTGAGGAATTTTAAAGAAAAAGTAAATGACTTGAATAAAAAGGGAAGAGTATTCTAGAAATAGCTACTAATGATAAAAGTAAAAATATACAGAGGAAGGAAACTTTCCTTTTCTCTATTAATAACAACTAACATTTGTTTATAAATTTATAGTCTGCAAACCACTCTCACATTATTCTGTTTGATCCTCACAACAGCCCACGTGAAATAGGTATTATTGCATTGCTTATCTGTTAGAAAGGTGAGGTTCAGAGAGACTACATGACTTGCCCAAGGTCCGTCATATAACCTGTAGCCCTGTAACCACACATTCACTTGTACTACACTATTACTTCACCTTTTTATATTCTCAATCAATTAGGAAAGGTAACTCTTTCTTTTTTCTTTTTTCTTTGAACTGTTGGGACTGAATGATTGATTTGAGGCTTGAGGGCAGTGAGAAGAAGGGAGAAGGGATTACTTTCCAAGCTTCTATCAAATAACCAGATAGATTCATGTTTATTATTTGCCCTACATAGGTATATAATGGTTCTCTGGTCAGTGAAAGTCAAATGTAGTTTTTTAAAATTTGTCCTCATGTCCTAATAATTGGCCAAAGCATAATTATCCTCATGGATAAAAAGAAACAGAGGTAGATGTCCCAGAAGGGTTTAGCAAGTGAGAAGCTTGATCAGAAATAACTAATGTTCTGATAGGAAGAATACATCAATATATCACCGGTGTCCATGACTTGGCAGAGACTATCTGGAAAATAGACATGGGGGGCGGGGGGACTGGGCAATAAGGGGTAAAGAAGCAGCTGGAAATACTTAGAATCTATAATGAGATAATTAAGACT